GTTAATGAACTGGCAGTTTTCCCTTTCCATGTGATCAAGAACATCTTCTTCAAACCTACTAAACAAATCGTCCATGGATGCTTCTCCAAATTGGCTAGCCAGAATCGGCTCTCCCACTGCCCTTATGTCAGTGGCAAATATTGCAGCCCTTGTCTTCTTATCAAGGCCACTGTTAGCTTGCTTGACATAAGAGTCCCAATCATTTTTGAAAACTTCAAGCTTTTGCAAAATAAAAGATCCTTCAGCCTCGATCACCTCTTCGATCTCCTTGGTTGTAGGTGCATAGTATGGCATATTGAATGTGTCCAATTTTTCCTCTTCAATCAAACCCTGAAAATTCATCAAAGTACATTTCAAATTAGCAATAAATAAGTGTCCCAAATCTATTAGAAATAAATATGATCTAAAATTTATTTACCTCTAAAACCAAGTCATTGAGTTTCATTCCTACAAATTCCCAAATGCAGAGGGGATCGTCACTCTTACTGCTGCCCAGGGTTGTGAGGACCATACTGCCCCCAGGGACGAGCTCTTCGGCACGTGACCTCAGAAAGACTGTGAAGTCCCTTTTGAATTGCTCCAAGTATTGCTTAAACACAGCTGGAGGGCTTGTCTTTGCTATATATATGTTCCCCTTGTTAAGTCCCTCTCCTTCTTCGGTCACCAAGCCTTTTGGAACCTACGTACACACACACGTTGTTGCATTATAAATTATCAGACACGATTTAAATATTATTCTCTTACCTCAGAGATCCAGGGATTGATTAAGAAGTAAACAGTATAATAAGGACACAAGGATTGATTAAAAAAGGAAAAAAGACAGGAAGGAAAGAAAAAAAAGAAAAAAAAAAAGAAACCTCAGAGATCCAGTGGAAAGCATAAGAACAGTGAACAAAGTGCAGAGAATTGTTGGGGAAGAGCCTGCCATAGAAAGAACCAGGCGTTCCTGCAATAAAACATGACCCAAACTTCTTCTCATGTTCTTCATCAAGTTTCTTATAGAAGCTTGGCAATGACCTGAACACCGTGTTGAAATCGTTTCCAGGAAGATCATTCAAGAAGGCTTGGAGTGATGGAGGTGGGCGGTTGAGTTTTTGGTAAGTTGTGTGGATATGCTGTCTATGATATCTGATACCACCAAAAGGGTGTTGGGTCCTGAAGAGCATCCCAAGTCTGCTATTTTCAAACACTCTGGGAAGAGATTGCAACACAGCTCCTCTATGCTTGCATCAACTATAGGCTTCACTGTTGAAATCACTGCTCTCTGAAGAAAAAAAAAGTTTAAGAAAGCATGAATATATTGCGTAGTTTTGGTTAGCAAAATAGTTTGAGAAAGAGCCATGCCCTTTAAGTGGTGAATATACAAATTATTTACTTTTCCTCTTATAAGAAGTACTTCATATAAAATCAACTAGGGCGCGAGAGAGAGAGAGAGACTCACTTGAAGTAGGGAATTGTTTGCATAGCTTGTTTTCCCAACTCCTCCATTCATGTGTAGGACTTGCTCTACCTCCATTTTTATGTTCTCAAATAATACTCCTCTCTCTCTCTCTCTCTCTCTCTCTCTCTCTCTCTCTCTCTCTGTCTATCTATTCTGCTTGAACACTCCCTCATATATATAGCAAAACACAACTAACTTGTTACTTTTTTACCTTGATAAAAAAGTTAAAAGCTCGGTATGTGGTTATCTAACATGATATCAAAATTCCAATTCACAACTAGTGCCTCTTAATTACTAACTTGCACCAACAACTTTTAACGTTTTGAGGTGCATGATCTAACACAGCTTACGTGGGATTAAGTTCGTCATAAGCTAGATTCCCATTGTAGGTCTTAAGTATTAGATTCCCATTGTAACTAACACATCGTTGGCAGCATTAGGTGTCTAACAGTGTACACTACTATGCCTGAATTAAAAATTTGATGGAACTGCTGGCCTCTCCTTTCCTATTAAGTAGCTGCAAATGGACAATTAAATCTTGTTTTTCTTTTCTTTTTTCCTTTATACAAACGATATTAGAGGAGGAGAGATTTCCACGTCGAATCACGGGACTACGAAAATAATTGTTTTTCGATCAGATGTATTGTACAATACATGTCCGTCATGTGAAACTCGTGGTCGGTGGAGAGCGAGGGCCATCTTTTGGAGCTTAATGACGTGGTTCATCCATGACCAATGAATCATGCAGCTGAGCCGAAAGGGCCAATAATGTAAGATCGAATGGTCTTGTTCCAAAGGAATTTCCTTTCCATGGGGAATTCTCAATTTCTCATGCCGAGTGTTAAAATACCCTGCGAAGAAACTAAAATGAGGCCCATTCTTTTTTGTCTTATTTTAATGTTTCCCTTGAACTTTCATCAATTTGGGCAAAAAAAAAATGACATGACTTGAGCATATTTAATAGTATGGGACACCTGATGAAGAGGATATATTGAGCCAGTTGAAAGTTCAAAAGAGAAATTGAAATTCGAAGAAAAGAACAGGATGACTACGCTAGTAGGCTGACGGTGTTGTCTATAGGAGTTTCCATTGCTATGTGTCTTTGTTCTGGTTGGAGTGAGTTAAAACAGAACATGCTCACCAAAAAACTGCAGCAAATCATAAACCCAGAAATATTTATAACAAAGAAAGAAAGAAAGAAAGTTTAGAAAAGGTAAGAACTTTACTGGGCTTGACTCCTAACCTTTAGGTGGGGAAGAGAGAAGAGAAGGGGAGGGTTTGATATTTTCTAGGGTTGGAAAAGATCCGTGTGTTTTTCAAACTATTATAAAAATAATAATAATAATAAAACATACGTATTTGTCAGAGAAAGGTACACTACATAAAAATAACTGGGCACAAATGTAGTTTTGTGTTATACGGATGTCACATTTGTTAGATAAAGTTAAAGACAATTAAATAATTTTATTTTTTTGAACAACTTGTCAGATGATACTTATTATTTACATTTAATTGACATTTGACACAATTCTAGGTGTCCAGTATAAATTTGTGCTTTATGTAAATTAATTTGGCATCATTTGACAAAAAGGACAACAACAAAAAAACAATGTGCACTGATTAAGTAGATGGCATAAAATAAGATTACTTGTTTAACTATGAATTCTCTTGAATTAAAAAAAATTTGATGGAAGTGCAGGTTAGGTTAGGTCAGTTGTCAAAGATATTGAGCCACCCCTTATACCTAAGTTCGAAGCTTCTGCTTCTAGCAATTATAAGTCTCGAAATTATGGCTTGAGTAGTCAATCATATCAAAATAGAGGATCTCGGGCTTCTACATTTAGAGTTCATGCATTTATCCATATTTCACTTAATTTAAACAATGAGTCTTTCTCTAATGCGGACGTCCGCATGCTTTGAATCAGGTGGATTGGATTCCTGAAATTCCAAGTAGTCTACAATTTGCCAATATAAATAATTTATGTAAAAGCAATCACAGGTTTGGGAACGTGCAGATGAGATGCAGAAGAAGAAAGCACATAAAGGACGTGGGAAAGTGGAGTTGTAGAAGAAGAAAACACTCCCATTGGTTGCTCTCACGTCTCTTGCAACATGTTTTTGTTTGTATATACAAATTGGGGACCAGTTGGAATTGAAGGAATGCAATCTAACTGCAGAAACATAAGGTGTAGAGGGGATGACCGGATTTTAACAATATGCAGACGTCCGCATTAGAGAAAAATTCTGTAAACCATTATAATAATATAATGGCTTAAAATATGACATGTCGAATGGTAGAGTTTTATTTTTTTTATTTTTTTCTAAATATTTTATTGCTTTCAACATTGGCTTAGCTGCCGTTATCTCTGTCTGTCCCTCCCATCATGAAGTCGTAAGAGCAGCTTCAGGAGTAGTTCAAGCCATGTAGGACTCTGGAATAGTATCAACGAGTTCAGCTCTCATCCAAAGGCATATGTTTCCCGCAGTCATACATAAGACATTCATCTTTAGAAGTTTAGAACAAATCTAATTACCTTAGTTGATAAGCAAGAATTATTATGGAAGAAGAGAAGGAGAAACAGAGAGGGAGGAGATGGAGGGCCTGATCACTGTGGGAGAGAGGCGGGGAGGTAACGGCAGTTAGTAATCGTCAATACCCTTTTTTTTTTCTTTTTCTTTTTTAAACTAATCTTAGGTAGAGAGAGAGAAATTCGAACTTAGGTAGAAGTGGAACTCAAAATCTTGGACAACTCACCTGGCCTAATCTAACCTAACCTGCATTTGCCTTATTATTGTTGTACTGTACTGAGCTGGAAATGGACATTTACAACGATATGCATGAAAGTAATGTTTTTTTTTCGTTTTTTCTGGCCGTCCATTTTCGCGAAACTCGTTTGGGTGTGGAGAGGGCCATTTCTGGAGCTTATAATGACGTGCCCAATCATGCAGCAGAGAATAGTATGAAATTGAAACTTTGAAATTGGTGGACACAATTGAGATTAAAATGCTGTGGTGGGTTGTATGAAATTGACGTTTCAAATTGAGGTTGCCAGACTTATCCAAAATTTATTTGACTTCCAATATAAGATTGCCACGCCATTATTAGTGACCCAGCACACTATCACCTCTAATGCTAAAAGTTTGTCCTTCGACCAAACACAGGACCACAGAAGAAGAAAAAAAAAAAAAAAAAAGTTGTGTGAAAGTGATTTTCTTCTTATTTTTTATTTTACTAGTATATGTAATGTGTCAATTTGGTAACATTTTGATTTCTGTTTTTTTTTTTCAAGTGACAACTTATTATATGAGTTGAGCATATCTTAACAAAGAAAATCCAAGTGGAGGATCTACATCCCCGCTTAACTTAAAATCTCGAACTACGTAGCTTTAGACACCGAAAAAATATCAGTACAGAAAACATAAGCAGGCTATTATGGGATACATACGTGTAATGATCCACGAAGTACACCATATATTCAGCTGGAAATTTGACAACAGATAAAGCTCTAAATTCCAAAGCAATGAAAAGAAAAAGTAGAAGCAGAGGAACCAGATAATGTCATTCAGAGGTGTGATACAGGTCCTAGATGTCAAGCATATCACGTGTTCCTGCACCCATGGTTGCAGTGTAGAGTCTAAAATACACTGATAGGCTGTCACAATGTTCCAAAAGCTAAGAAATAATGCAGAGCCTATGTCGGCATATTGGGTTTTTTTTCAATTTTTAGCAAAAATATTGTCAGATTAACATTAGAAACACTGTCAAATCAATCAATTATCAGAGATTATGGTTCCATCTTTGACATGGCAACCAGTCTGCTCCAGAGCAGATTCAAAGAACCCACAACCATGGATGCTTGAATCTATACATGGTGGAGCAAAGTGGATGATCATATCTCTCAATGTGAGCATCCCTGTGGCCTGATTTGATTCATCAACCAAGAAGCTGAAACTGCTTTTTGTGTCTGCCATGTTTCTCATGGCTTGCTTCAGGGTTTCGGTTTTCTTGTTGGTGACCGGTGAGTCCATTCTTGGCGCGAAGTTGTTTTTGAGGCGCAGAAAGCCGGCTGAGAGAAGAGCCCCAATGTCTCTTTCAATTGTTGGATCAGAGCCTGTTTTATGATCATCATTCTCCATGTGAATGAACTCCTCCACAGTTAGACTTCTGCTGTTATATGATTAAACATCAAATTAAACATGTAATATTACATATCTTAAGTTAAAATTTCTTCTTTTCTTCCTTTAACACGCCTTAGCTTCAATGAGTTATCCAATCCAATCTAATCCTAGGCACCAAACAAGCCCATGATCTTGTCATGTTCACGCTGTTATTAAGATACAACTGGCAAGGGTCTGGACATTTATGCGTGCCTATATATATAATTTGCATATCAAATGCTACACTGAAGTGGACATGAGAAACTAACAACTCCTTTAGATGCATCTCCGTTCTGTTTTCTATTTTTCTTCGTCAACTAGAAGAAGAGAGGAGAACAGAATGGCGAAGTTAGGAATTGTTCATTAATTAGATAAATGGCTGTTTGACATTGGAAATTTTAAGTAGCATATCTCATTGCATATAAAACTTTTGAGATAAAATTCAATATCTGAACTCCACAACATGGTTAAGTTGGAGATAGTCGGCAATCAGTTTGAATTTGGGGAGTTGGGGACCTCCTCTCTCCTCCTTGTCTCTCTTTTATTAAAAAACAATAGCAAAAAATAAAACGAAAAGTATGGGTTACAAAACAAAACATAGAAGGGAGAACGAAAAAATGGACGTAACTTACTTTATATTGCGAGGTAGATTCTCTAGAAGGAGGTAGATATCGCATTTCCTTATGCTACCAATGACCCTCTTACTTTTCCTATCTGTGACAGCAACTGCACCATTTTGGCTTTTCCATAGAACATGAAGAGCTTCGGTCATGCTTTGGTCTCCATATACATGTACAACATGCTCTTCATTACCAAACCTGTATTGAAACATCCGTAGAGATGCAATTCCAAATTAAATGAGAACTTACTATTCAATTGTAAACTACTCTTATAGCTTGATTTATCCCCAAAAAAAAAAAAGATGAAGAAAAGAAAAGAACAGTTTATGGGTTGACATACCGGAACTCTGATAAAGGCTTGTCAGCAATGCTATCAAACCAGTCTAAACCACTTGATTGAAGCAGCAGAAGAAGTACTCCATGCTATACACGCATATTAGATAATCAAGAACTTAAGCTTAGTGTTGTTTTGTAAGCTTTAAACAAAAACCGCCAAAGATCATCACAATTTCTTGTTACTTTTACAGATTCTCATTTTGGCCTGCTGCTAATGGCCATATTTGCTTCTCAAAAGCACCATTTATGAAGTAGAATTTAGAGATAAATATACCTGTGAAATAAAACCAATGAGCTTAGAACTGGTTCTCTCTATGACAGGCACAACTTGCAGCCGATGCTTTGAAAGTAGCAGCAGAACATGGAAGAGTGTCTCATCCAAGTGTACAGGGAAATACGAATTCCACAGAAACGACTTAGCCAGCTCGCCAATCTATCAGAATTAAACAGAAGTGCTCATAACGAAATAAAGATTTAAAAATCTGCATTAAAATAGTACTTCAAGGTTCTAAAATACAACCAAGGGATTAAAGAATCCGAATAATATCGCGTGTCAAAATGCTTGGCAGGTTATACTTTAGAGATTCGAAAACCATGGCATCAACATTGTTAAACATAAAACTTTTCAGTTGAAAGAAAAAGAAAAGGGCTAATATAATGAAGTGAACATGTTAAGTGTTATGGACTTGTATTTCTCTAAATGGACTTTTTGGCTTACATGGAATTGTTCTATCTTCTATGTCTACTTACCATATTAAATAAAATAAAAAATAACTAAAAAGGTCAAAAAAATATAAAATAAAAACCTTGGTTTGGCCAATGTGAGGATGCTGTTCAAGCATGTCAAAAACACCATAGTTACCAATTTCTTCAGCTGCAGTGTCACTTCTGCAATTCTCACATTCCTCGAAATAAAATTTTCGTGAGAAGCATTTGTTACATATATAATTGTGTAAATAACACTACACAAATGTTCATCTGGGGAAGCTTTTAAAACGTTAAAATCTACAAAAATGAACATCCTTACCTCAAAAAACCAAAGAACAATACTTGCGAAATCAATGAAACCAATATAAGGATCCGAAAAGCTTCCTTTGGTATTGTCAGTAATTGGTGCACCACACACATTCTTCTCGTGCATCAAATGAATGGCATCTCTTACACTATCCCCAGTTTTCAATTCCAAAACTTTGCATTGCATCCAATTTAGGACAGAAAAAATTAAAAAAACATTATTTTCATAATGGGATTTTAAGGTAACCAAATTCAAAAAACCAAACCAAAAACAAAGATAATGGAACATTGGAAATTATATCATGCTTACCGGGTGAGTTTTTTATGCCAGGGATAGAACTGATGAGGATGTTATCAAGAAAGAGTTGGAGGGCAGAGCCTGAATCAATTTCTTGGTTGTTTTCTTGAGTTTTAAGGGTGGAAACAAGGCTCTCTTTCTTCTGTGCCACTCCACCTTCTGATTTTTTCATTACATCTTTTATTTGCTGCATCTTCTTTCTTTTGTCTGAGTTAGAAGTTAGATTGGATGTTAAACTGTTTTTGAGGTTCCCTTTCTGTCTTTCTTGTATTTGCGTGATCTGTTTTTGAGTTCCTCCTGCCCCAAAGACAGATGTCAAGAGTGCAAACCTTCCAAGTGTTAGTTTGTATTGCCATGTGGCGTTCTAAAGACTCAGTTTTGCGGTACGATTTTCTCCCTTCAATTTTCATCTTTTCTATTTATTTTTCTCTTTTTTTTATACAATCGATATTTAGGGAGCGGGAATCGAACCTAAAACCTCGAATGCAAGGATAAATGCTCTTAACCACTTGAGCTACAAAACCTTGTTTTTTTTTGTTTTTTTGGGTTGTTGTTGTTATAGATTGGGAGATTTATTTAAGAGTAATGCTACATATGCTAAAAGAAACTCCAAGATTTGTGTCCAATTAATATGATAGAATTCATTTCCACACTACCAAGGTAGTGTAATGTGGCCTGCCAGATCATTTGGCACCAAAATTTGAAAACCCTTGATCATGGTGGTGGTTTTTCTGAGTTCCCTGACATTGTATATAGTTATGAATAAATTTTTCTATGAATACAACAGTAAACTGTGAAAAATATTTCCTAACAATACATGAATAAAAGGAGTGTTAAAACTTGAATTATCATATTGCAATATGAAAATGGGGGATGGGATATTAAAAGGATGACAGCTTTATAATAGAAAACTGTACCTTTGAAATTATTACTACAAAAGGCATAGCCTACTGATAACTTTATAATATATAAAAACGCTGCTAGAATTTGGAATTCTCTGATTCCTGTTAACTCTTTTCTTCTCCATTGCTATAGGCTGCTGGTGGCTTCTCTTTGAACCAACATTATCAGAGATGAACACGTCCACAAGTTAAATAAAATGCTTTTTCTTTTTCTGAGATACAACTACGTTTCAAACATTATTCATAATCAATATTGATACAGAAAGTTCATAGGTTCTTATGGATATATCACCTCCATGAAGGATGAAAGCAGCCGGCGGCGGGTCAGCTGCTGTAGCTTATTTTTGTACATCTGGTGACTCTAGAACTCTTATAAGCTTATAAACTCCATTTTTACAAGTACGGAAGGATTTTTCTAGTTTAAAAGGCAAAATGCTGCAGAAGCTATACCCCTCAGCTGCCAAATGCACTTGAGATGTTAAGATCCAAACGTTTGCAAGTCTCTTTCCCACCACCATTTTTCAACTGTGTTGAAAAGTACTTGAGATGTTAAGATCCATCATATAACCATGCCATCTTGTATTGTTGCCTTCTCCAGAATAATTGTGATTCCCTCACGAATGTAAAATCCCTCTTCTGGCCTATCTGCTTCTCGAACCCCCTACAGAACCAGAGAATAAAGACGACCATAAGATTGAATATGATGGTATATATTTCACTCAATAAAAGGTTGGCCCAGTCAAGTTTGGTTAAAAGGTAAAATGAAAATATCAATGTATCCCAAAAAAATGAGACTGGACCATGGGAAGCCATGCTTACATCTTTGTTCACGATCACTGCGTCCTTCCCTATCTTTGCATTCTTATCAATTATACAATTCCTTCAAGGAAGAATCATAAAGACATAATTAGAAACCTCGGCATGCTACATTCCACGTAAAGCTAAGAAATGTTTCTCAATTTGTGAATCTAATTACCTAATCTTTGTATTCCTTCCAATACCAACTGGGACCTTCCCCTCCGCAAGCAGAGATGCAATTTCAGTTTCAGTTTGGTAATAGTCTGCACCCATCATTATAGCATCCTGTAGCAAGAGGTAACAACTTAATAAACATAGTCATAAGAATGAAAGTAAACAAACCAGTCCAGTTTTCAACTTCTGTCTTTGAAAACCATGAAAATTCACCTTCAGCTCAACACCATAATCCAATCGTGAACGTTCACCTACAATTGAATGCTGGACACTACATTCTCGCAAGAAACATCCATGTGATATTATTGCATCCACAATCTGCAATACAAAAATAATGCATGAGAAGCAGATCGCCTCAATGAAGTTTCCAATATGATCCCAAGTACATTAGCATACCCGGCACTTGTCAATCTTGGTTGGTGGTAAGAATCGAGGAGAGGTAAAGATAGGTGTCTTTGGGTCATAGAAATGAAACTTCGCGAACTGCAAAAAGAGAAGGTAATTTTCCGGGACATTAATCACACATCAGGGAAAGAAAATGATGTTGCTCTTTGTTTCACAGAATTGATATTAAGACATTATTTAAGAACTCTACACAATTATAGGGATTCATCATATATTCTCCGTGTTTACATGTTATAGTCTAGAATAACAGGGTGCCCCAGAAAATAGTATGGAAAGGCACATTTGTTCTTTTTTCATTTTCCTTTCTGTTTTTGTTTTTGTTTTTTTTGGAGGGTGACGTGAACCTTTTGTGTATGCCATGTCTAAATGTTTGACGTCCTCAAGGAAATGAACTGAAGGGAAATAGAATTATGAAATGTTGCCCCTATAAAAACAATGAAATCTACCTCTTTGGTGAGGGCCAAGTTAGCATCATAGAAAGACTTTATAGTTCCAATGTCCTCCCAGTATTCTCTGAACATAAATGCCTGTAAAAGCAAAGGCAAATTATACAGACATTTTCTTCAATATTTGTGTATAAACAGATAAATCGGTAAGAAGAAAATATGAAGAATCATGAATTGTTATGCAAATGGCTCAAATTTTATGGTCTTTCAGTTGAGGCTTCACTCTTCTGTTTCCTTCAATCCTTTATGGATAGGGAAAAACTCATAGATGAAGACACTTCAACTGTAATGGTTATCTTACTTGAACTTTGTGCTCTCTCACTGCTGCAGGAATGATTTCAGACCCGAAGTCGTTTGATGTTGGATATCTCCACCTCAGAAGATTTAGCAAAATTTCTGTCTTAAATACATAAACTCCCATTGATGCAACATATGGGGATTTCATGGCATCTTGTGGGGACAATCCCAGAAGCGTGGTATCTGTTTGCTGCAGAATGTCAACCAAGAAGGGTAAAACTTATGTCTAAGATATATTATTCATTAATGCAGTCATGTAAGTCTAAATACATGGGTAATGTTAAGACACAGGGAATTTAAATAAGATGAACTTGGAAAATAGTGTAAAAGAGTAATGGAGAAAAGCATCAGTCTGTTATGTTCCTCCAAATGAGCATTTCAATAACAGGATGCAAAAGTTATTTTTGAACCTCATTGAAAGTGAGAAAAATAATCTGATTAGCATAATATCTGGATTTTCTTGCTTACCATTGCTTTTAGATCAGCTCCCCTTGGTTTTTCAGTAAACTGGATGACTTTACCTCTGCTGTCTATCTTCACCAATCCATAATCCGACGCACGGCTGGAAAGCATGCGTTCAACTTTAGATGGAATTTAGAAGAGATATTTAGGAAATTATAAGAATGAGGATTTTGGGGTTGGGGGATATCATTGACATAATCTTTATTTTTTGCCTCATAAGTTAGCTTAAGAAAACAGAATGTGCCAGAGGAAACTACTATGTGATTGATGTTCCATTAATTGTCAATTTGCAATTGTTACACTATATAATAACAGGTGGGGGAGGTGTTAGAATATAAAATAATGGTTGACTCACATCCTAATCGCTTAAGATTTTGTGAATTTTGGTAAACCAACAAACTTTATCGACAGCCATGAAAGAGAAAAAATAAAAAAACAAAAGTTACATTCAAAGTCTTGTAAAGCCAAAAGGAGAAAAAAACAGACCTGTCACCCACTGCGGCACATGAAATTGTAATATCAGCATTTCTATCAACGTGACTCTGTATATCATAGAAAATGTGTAAGAAAATTTTAACAATAAACAAGTCCTAAATGAAGGGAAATTATCAAACCTGCACAAAGTCTGTATAATCCATTCGGTAAAGATGATCTCCACACAAAATCAGTACATTCTCAACATTCCTGTTTTTGGCATCCTACAAGAAATAATGCAGTACATTGTACCCGAAATCAAGTTATGCAAACCAAGGAACAACATACAGACCCATTATTACTATCAGTTCCCCCCTTCTTTAATTTTAAAACAATACCATTGTTGCAAACTTCTTTACCCACCTCAAATACCCATATAAATTGCCTCACAGCATCTGCTGTTCCTTGGAACCAATTCATTCCTGCCTCCCCAGGCGTTTGAGTGGCTGCCAGAATCTGCACTTGAAGTGTGCTTTGAGTCACAAAATAATCAAGGAACTTGAAAAAGAAATAACACATTGGACCAGATATATTTTTTTTTAATGATTAAATCCTTTTAAATATAAGACCTCTTCTTCTTTCTTATATAGCGAGAACTACTTCATTTAACATTAATTACAACTAAAGGTTCCCTATCAGACTAACTATCAGTTTGAAAACTGATTTTTGCAGCATCTTTACATAATTATCAGCCTACAACTAATTTAATAACAGACCAATCACAAAATGATACAGGTATTAATCTGCATTAAAGGATTCATTTACCTCTACAAATCCTTCCCCAAAGTTGATACCATTTCCAAAATAGGTGCGAGCAATGTGACGATTGAGAGAAGCAGAATTAAACTGCGTCAGTACAAAAATCTTGTTTATATTGCTGTTGATGCAATTGCTCATTGGAATGTCTATAAGACGGTAGCATCCTCCAACTGGGACCTGCAATCATACCAAATCAATACATCATACAACTTCAATTGCGATATTGAATCACAAGCTTTGATGAATCATGTGAGCGTATGGTTATTAATGAAGGATCATACAACCAAATTTTTCTAAAACAAATCAACATAATTTATCTTACTGCAGGTGTTGCTGATCTTATGGTAAGAGGAAAGAGCTGAGTCCCTGCGCCTCCTCCTAAAATGATTGAAGCTACATTCTTGGGGTCTACTCTCCGTCTATATATAGGTGGCATTTGCACAGCCTGACATTGAACACAAATTTAAGAAAACAGAATTCATAAAAATAAAAAATAAAGTAAAGAAAATAACAAAAGAATGTGACAACCTTTGCAATTTTAGATCAACAAACACAAATTAATACCCAAAATAAATAAATAACATACAAAAATGGCAGTGATCATACAAATTACAGAACTTGAAGATAAGATAGACACAGATAAAATGCTCATTTCAATAAATATCAAATTGGTAACTGAAAAGGATATTAACTTACCACAGCCTCGGTGTTACTTGATGTAAGAACAGAAAGAACAACTCCAGATTTCACCTTCTTGGCCCTCTTCTCAGCTCTCAAAGCCTTTGTCAACCGATTGTCCCAAAGCTTGTTATTAAGGCTCCCTCTAACTCTCTCCCCCCAAAACCCACCATCACCATTACAAAGACCACTTGGTTTTCTCAAATGGGCGTTCGGTTTCAAGGTCACACAGCAAGAATCCATTCTAGTTTAATGGTAACAGATCAGAAAATGTGCACTCAAAACTGAACCCAAACCCCAGTAAAGTAAGAGATGTGATCTATTATCTAAGCAACCAAGTAAAGTATAGATCACACAAAGATAATTATTATTAAGTTAAGAGTCAGTGACATATTCAAGGTCATTGATGGAGTTACACTATTAAAACCATAAAACCCAAAACAGAGCTCCAAGAATAAAACAGCTAAATCTGAGAAAAGTTGGCAATGGATCTTGAGCCAAAACTGAAGATACCCAGATCACAGATACTCCTAAAAAGTAGAATCTCAGGTACCCAGAAGGCCAAAAACCAAAATTTTGAGATTTAAATGGAAAAAAAACAAAAATCAGGGTGGCTAGGTGAACAGACCAAAATGTGTTGTTTTGAGCTCTATGACTGAACTATATAAAGTAGCGAGATTTTGGGAGTGGTTTGGAAGTGATCAGCGGAGTAGGGATTTTATCAAACGGGAAGTGGAAGTCAGATTTTATAATGGAGTGAAATGCGTGAATTGATTTTGAAAGAAAGTGATCGGCTTTATTGGCTTGTGAGCCCTCACGAGAAGAGTTGCAAGTACTGTATTTATAGTTGCACCACAAGCAAAATTACAAAAAAAATAATGCAAATAAATACATTTAAATTTTAATAAAAATATATATTATGGGACAGATCACTGGACTCACCCATCAGAGTCCAAGTTTCTAGGCTGCTGTTGCATTAACCATTATGAGCCAAACACCTGTCCCTTTCAAGCCCAAAATAATACTAGAAAATAGAAATTAAAAAAATACTTTCTGACCAATTAAGTGAGATATACTTTTGTTTCATCATCAGCTGTAAAAAGATTTACAATATTTAATGGGTCATTAGGCATTTTTCAACTGATGTAATCTCTCTCCCCCTCGACGGTTCATATTGGAGGGAGGACATTTCCCGCCACTTGATATTGGGTCATTAGGCAAGTGGCTAGACTAATTGTCAGAGAGTGTATTGTCCTTTTGTACCATTATTTATAAAGCCACTTGATTACTTGTTGTATGTCGCTGATCATCTAGGTCTAATTATAGACAAGTTGTCTTTTCAATTTGCATTAGTTTTGGATGTCTTCATTATTTGTCAGATTTTTATTTCTATGATGATATAGATTAGGCCAAAGTTTACCCTGAATTGTTTTTCAATACTTTTTTTTTCGTTTTTGGGAGTTCATATCGAGGTTGGTAGATAAAATTTAAGGCTTTGCGTGGATTAGTAAATGCTTTTAACTGCTTGACTTATAACCTTTTTATATTTCAATGTTTAAATTTAGGATTTGTATTCTCGCCACACATGCCATTACACTTGAGATGGCTCATGATAGCAAACTCTTAATAGGATTAACTTATCCAACATGATAGAATAAAATGTGAAATTTCTTCCTTATCATGAGAGAATGAATGAAAATATAAATGTGTCGTGGTAGCGGTCGTGATAAGAGATAGTAATGAATGTTTTATACCCAATAAAACAATGGTGGCAAAGACGGTTGTGCCGGCCCATGAGGGTGGCAGTGGTGACCACAGTGGTGGTGGTGTCTATAAAATGAAGGCAACATGCTGAGTGCAGAAGTGAAAGTAGCCACTATTAAAAGAACTATGGCGGCAATAAGAGTTGTAGTAGTAGTGATAGAGGCAACGGTAGTGATGAGTTCTTAAAATCTCACTAATTTAAGTTTTAAAAGAACACATATTTACCTAATACTAAAATATCATTAAATTTTTTACAAATTTATAAATAAACCCAATCCTAGACATGTATTTATAAAAAAACCCAAGCACTATTTAAATATAGAAACACACCCAAAATCAATCCCAAAGTTAACTTTTTGGGTGTGTTTATAAATGGGTTTTGAGTGTGTGTAATGATGGGTTTTGGGTGTGTTTATAAAGTGTTTTGGGTGTTGGGTTTTTTTATAATTTCAACCTCCATTTTGGGTGTTTTAGTGAAACTCCCAAAATTTTTTCATTTGAAATATCCCTTAGAATTTATGAGGACTTGTAGCTCAACTGATATAGAGCATCAAAACCAAAGTTCATACGGTGACCTTCTCTCATTTGTACCAAAAAGCTTTATACTACAATTTATAAATATTTTATGAAGTTCCCCATACAATGTTATCGTAATACGAAATTTTAAAATAAATCCCTTCCCTAATCTCGCCTTAATTTCAAAGCTCGCCTCAAACTCTCTTCTTAGTAAATGATCATGTTCTTTTCACTTTTGAAATGCTTGCACTTGTGTATAGGTAAAGTTGAAGCTAACAAATCTTCGGAACTAATTTATGTTATAAAAAATAATAGTTTTCCTCTTCCGTAAAGTCAAATACAAAACATTTATATTATAAATAACATATAAATAAATTGGAAAGTTTTGAAGGTATAATGAAATTGAAGAAAACAAAATAATAGGTAAGTAAAAGGAAAATAAATAATAAGTAAGAAGGTGAGTTTGGTGCAGTGAAGCACCTCAAAGACGTTGTCCTAAAGCCTTTGTAGCCTCCCTACGTGCAGGTACTGACGGTCTACAAGACTCCAAAATACGACCCATTATACACAAACTCAAAATTCGCTATGAGCACGTTCATAGACAGATATAGGTATTCAAGTCACATAACTATTGCCCAAAATAATAATAATATAAAGTAGAGAATATATGTAAAAGTAGAAAAGGAGAGAATTAGAATGTGTATGTGATATTCTGATAGTGTATTGTGTGTCTTGTGTGTGTATCAAATGTGAATGAGGAGTGACCTTTTATAGGCATCCGAAACATGTAACCTTCACCAACCATAAAAGTTCACCAACCAAAAAATTAAGGCATTCACCAACTAGAAATAAAGCCTGAATATTAAACATTTATAACCCCACAATAAATAAAATAAAAAAGTCAAAATAATTAAATAAATAAAACGGTTAAATTTTTAAAACCTTTTAAAATTCCAACAATTTATGATTTGAACCCTAGACTTTTTTAGAAGATGAATTGAACTAATTTATATTTTTTTATTTTTCTTACAAAATAAAGACTCTTCATCATTCACCCAATTCAAGTAACTTGAGCTAAGAATCGAAATCATACACTTGCATTTGGTAATTTGAAATTTGATGCCATACATATACATCTATCCAAAATCAACTGTGAATAATGCTTGATGATGTTTTTGATACAGTTACAGACAGAGACTCTAAAATTCAATGCAATGAGAAGGAAAAAAAAACTTCCATGCGGGAGAGAATCAAATGGGAACATTTTTATTGACCCTACTTCTGTACTAGTGTTTTGTCAGAAGAAGTTCAGATTCATGTTCATGATCTTACCAAAAAGGGAAATGAAGGGGACGTTTTGGTGGAAATAACCCAAGGCGCACATGTTTCATGAGCAAAGAGGACATAACATAACTAACATCCCAGATTGCCTATAATCACCAACCAAACTTCTTCAGCAAAGAGCCAAGCACCATGGAATATATCAAATCTCTCTCACACACACATCGACTATAGGGAATATTCGTCAAGATGGAAGTTTTACAAGGGTTAGTTTGGAGAACAAGTTACCTTGATCCACCAGTAACCTAGGTGAATATTCTTCTTCAAAGATTATACATATTTGATATTCAAACAGGTTCCTAATACTTGAGAGATTTCTATGGAATTCTATGAGAGATTTCAATCCATTAAGGATTGTTCTGCCGCACGCTCGTATTAGTATGATTTTCACCGTAACTAACGACGTGAGAAAGATATTCCTCATTTCTAATTTATTCCAACTGTTTTCATATTAGTTTTTCATGTTATTTATCTTTTTCATAACAAAATTTATCACTATTTATCCATGCACTCAAAATCATGTGTTCGATTTCAACTTCTAAATATTTGCTTGTATAAAAAAAATTAAAGAAAACAATTAGGGAATGTCAGGTTAAATCCCAAGCTCCCAACAGTTATTGGTATTGATTGGTTGTAAGTCTCAACGTCAACAAAAAAAATCAGACCCACCAAGCATCACTGTTAAACAATTATTACA